CTTTGATAGACACAAGACCATGGAAACTGGCCCCCGTCATCGCAGTACCGGGTCGCTGGAGTTGGAAGGTGTGGCCTTTTCAGTGATCCTGTCTCTCCTCCTGTGTTTTGTTTTTGTTTTTAGGTTTAAATATGTTATTTGTTCTCAAACCAGACTTTATTATAATTTTACTTTCCAGACTTTAATGGAAGCAAACCCAGCCATAACATTTGAAAATATACTTCTTAGCTTATCTCGTTTTCAACTGGGAGAATTGCCATGTTTGACGATCTGTCATACCTAGGTGACGATCTTAAATAATTTTGCATTCATTTCAACTTCCTGAAATGTGTTTCATAGAACCTCCCAGGGACTGGTATTGTTAAAATAAAAAACAGAACCCACAGAGGAAGTCCATTTCCAAATTTAGATAAGATTGCACTCAGCAAAATTCAAGAAGCCTCTCACGGCTTCTCCTCCTCGACCTGGCAACTGTTCTTGTCACTGAGAAGGCTCCCCTGCCTTCCAGAAGAGCCTGTCAGCCACATGCATGGCACCAGCATGTCCTGAGGGGCTGTGGTCTCTCCCACTGCTGCTCACCGAAGAGTTCCAGTGTTATGCTCCACCGGAACCCCAAGGCCTGCACGTCCCTCTGCTGTGGCTTCTCTCCTTTCCTTTTTAAGCAAATGCTTATGTAATCCCACGCTCACTCTGTGACAGGTCCTGATAAGCCTTTCCCACATTAACTCATGAAATCCTGGTGAGGCCCTCAGAGCCAGGCGTTGCTCTGGGCCCCTCTGTGCGGATGGCTCCCCAAAGGGCTCCGACAGAAGGACACTGGCATTCACCATTTGCTGTGGCTCTTGGACAACAGATCCAGCAGGGAAGTCCTCCGTTTAGGCTAATGAAAGTCCCTCCTTGGCTCTTCCATGCCCCACGAGGCATCCCAGGCCACCATTCCTACCACCCTCAAAGGCACTGGGGAGAGGAGCCGGTTACAGAGGAAATCCAGGTCCATCCCTTTAAAGAGGGCACAGCCCAGACTGTCCCAGGGGAGCCTGTGCAGTGCCAGGGGTCCTGAAGCCGGTGGGCAGAGAGAGGACTGCTGGAGTCGGTGGGGAGGAAGTCACCCCTTCTCCAGCTCCGTGATGCTACCTCACGATGAGGATGCCCACATCCTGGGCACCCCCTTGGTCTCTCTCTGCCCACCACACAAACCCAGAGGTGGGAGGGAAACTCGCGGTGAGGTGAGGTGCTGTGACTCAGGAAAGCTGGGGTGTGGGCCACCCCAGTCCTGGCCTTTCCCGTTACTCTCCATCATCCAGTGACCTGCGTGATGCTTCCAGGAGGTGGAAGAGTTTCAGGGCAAAAGCCCAGACCCTAGAAGTCCAGATGGTGGCCATAAGAATGCAGGAGAGAACTGGACTTGGTGACCACCTGCAGTCCTGCACAGAAAAGCCCTGGAGAGAGGCTCTTGGGGACCCTCTCCGTGCCTTGTTGTGTTGTGCATGTAGGAGAGAGAGTGTCAGAGGGACTGGATGTGAGTGTGCCAGTGTGTGCATGCATGAGTGAGGCTGAGTGCGTGCATGAGTGACTGTGAGGGTGTGTGGGTGTGAGAGTGTGTGAGTCAGTATGGGCGTGTGAACACACAGTGGGCATGAACCTACACTTCTGAATGGCTTGTGAGTGTTCTGGGGGCTCCTGGTGCCTTCGTCAGGAGTCAGGATCTCTGGCAGTCCCCACCTCCATCTGGAAGAACCAGCCTTCTTTCTGACACTTTTCTGGGCTTCTGAGCATGGGGATGGCGTCCTCTCTGCAGCCTCCCAGCCTGGGCTTGGCGTCCTCTCTGCAGCCTCTGAGACTGGGCTTGGAATCCTCTCTGCAGCCTTCGAGCCTGGGCTTGGTGTCCTCTTTGCAGCCTTTGAGCCTTGGCTTGGTGTGCTCTCTGTAGGCAGCCACCTAGGGGGAGCAGCATGGAGCGAGAGTGGGCGGTGGGCGCCCTGACTCCATGCCACGCCCACTATGAAATGCTGATTCTAAGCTGGGAATAAATGCCTTGCTAGAAGAACATGCTGTGCAAGGTGGAAAAGGAACAAATAGAACCTCCCCACGCCTCCCACATGCGTGGGGCTCTGGCAGGGAAAGGGATGACTGATCGCTGAGGCAGAAGCGCAGATGCAGGGAGCAACCCGACCCACACCTCCATGGCACGGCAGGCTGATTAATGTTCTTCCTCATGATTTCTTATGTTGTGCTACCTCCAAGGAGTCACTGTAAACATTCATTGTAGGATTACTCCGTTCCCCTGTCCCCCTGTAACACATCCAAACATGTAAAACAAGTCATTTGAAAGTTAGACTGATAACATCTAACTTTAGTTAGACTGATAACATCTAACTGGAGTAGGATACATCCAACACTTAGCTTAGGCTGGTTTTATAGATGTGTATTCTTATGAAACAGGTCCAACTGTGTTTGCCCTTTCCACAGGGAAAATCTAGTGGAGACGCGGCTGGAGTTGAGGCATTTGCAGGTGAGGCTGGATCATGGTCCACTGTGCCGGCTGAGTCCCCCAGCCCCGCTTCCCCACGTGATTTTGAAACCTTGCTGGGCATGTTTCAGCGGCAATACAGGCAAGCCTAGCCCCATGTCTTTGAGTTGACCTGGAGACCTGGCTGCTGGGAATGCCCACAGCCCTACCTCAAAGAACGTGTCCCGCTCCCACGTTCTGGCCCCTTGTTGGCTTCAGCTGAGTTGGTCAAGAGTGGATGGGCTCCTAACCCCAGAGAAACTCATGCGGCTGCCTGAGAAACACACTGACACACAGAGGGTTGAACAGGAAGGGAAGGACTGGGCTGGTTGCCTTTCTGGTTGTGATAACTGATTGGGTGGAGCAAAAGTTAAAGCTGCAACATGGTCAGCAGGTCAAACAGGAGCCATGAGAGATCCAAGGCTCGTCAGAGTTGTGTGAGTGGGAAGATTCAGTGAGCTAGAGAAAGCACTAAGCCAGTGCAGTGGAGGACCAGAGAGAAAACTGCTGTCTTGGTCAGCTGGGCTGTTATGGCAAAATACCACAGACTGGGTGGCTTACACAACAGGAATTTATTTCTGGAAGTCCGGGATTGAGGTTCTGGCTGATTCGGTTCCTGATGAGGGATGTCGTCCTGGCTTGTAGGTGACTGCCCTCTTGCCCTGTCCTCATATGATGGCGAAAGAGAGAGAGAGAGCGCTCTGGAGTCTCTTCTTACCAGCGCACTCATTTTGTCATGGCCTCATTTAAAGCTAATCACCTCCCCAAAGCCCCATCTCCTGATACCATCACACTGGGGGTTAGGGCTTCAACACAAGAATTGGCGGAGAGACGAACATTCAGTCCATACCAGCAGACAGGGAAGACCTGACCTATGGCACAGACCTCCTCTAGTTCATTCCACGATGCTTTGTACCCACGGGATACCCAGTTCCAGTGTCGCCAAGGCCTGTCCAAACCACATATCAGGGTCTTGGGCATTAGGAAGCTCTGTCACCTCCTAATTTATTACTCCTGTGACAGGAAACTCCACCCTGTAACTTGGAGGAGTCTTGGGAGAGTCTCTGTCCCTTGGTGGGGGGGTTGGGGGGAAGGGAAAAATCCAGGCCGGGTGCGGTGGCGCACACCTATTATCCCAGCACTTTGGGAGGCTGAGGTGGGTGGATCACTTGAGGTCAGGAGTTCAAGACCAGCCTGGACAACATGGTGAAACCCATCTCTACTAAAAAAGTCCAAAAAAAAAAAAAAAATAGCCGGGCATTGTGGCATGCGCCTATAATCCTGGTTACTCAAGAGGCTGAGGCAGGCAAATCGCTTGAACCCAGGAGGCAGAGGTTGCAGTGAGCTGAGATTGTGCCACTGCACTCCACCCTGGGCAACAGAGCAAGACTCCATCTCAAA